TATGAATCAGCACTGCAGGGTGTAATTAAACAGGAAATATGTGTGTCACATTTATAAAAGTTAACAGCTCTGCTGGTAGCCAACACACTCCCTATATTTAAGAAACAAGGCCAAGCAACCAATTTTTATTTAAATAACCAATCCCAGTCCCTTCCCCACCGCCCCCCTCCCCCATTTCCACATAGTAACTAAATATTCAGTTGGTTATTTCTGGGCTTTTTCACCTGGTGGCGGGTCCTTGAATCCCCTGCCACTTGTTCCACTGGCTTTATGCCCCCCAGCTGGTATTGCTTATTACTAAAAATAGTCATCAGCCATGGTTGAGGGCAATCTAGGAGTTTTGTTTCCCTGTTGTTGCTGGTGTTGATGATGTCTCTTGTCCTTTAAGGAGCTACTATTTCATACAACCCCTTGTTTCTGGTAATATCTTTGACTGCCTGATATTTGTTGCCATTTCTTGTAGTTCTTAACACCGTGCGATAGACACTTTGTTCCACATTAAACTAATATATATTTTTAATTTTAAAAGAAATCAAGCAGTATAGAAGGTTGTGATGTTAAAAATGAAAGTTCTTTTCTTCAACCTTGACCCCTAGTTCCACTTCCCAGAGGTGATCACTATGAACGGCTTCTTACACACCTTTTAGGAAGGTTCTACACATATTCAAAATGCATTTTCTTCTTTTTTATACAAATAGAATCCCACTGTACCCTTTCTGTTGTGCTTGAACTTGTTTCTTTTACTTAAAAATGTATCTTGGTGCTCTTTCCATATTAGTACCTAGAGAAGCATTCAGTCTTTTAATGGGTGCACACTCTTCCATTGTATGGGTGGGACATAATTTATTTAATCAGTCTTTTATTAAAGGGTATTTACATCTTATCCAGTTTTTTTTTCTCTCAGTGAATGTTGGATTTTGTTTTATGTGTGTTTTCTTTGCTTACTTTATGAGCATAACTGTAGGATGAATTTCTAGCAGAGAAACTGCTGAATTAAGGGGTATTTACTTTTACATTTTAATAGCTATTACCAAATTGCTTCCCCAAAAAGGCGCTGACAGTATGATAGTGCAACTGGGCATTTTTTTCAGAGAAGCAAAAAGGACCAACTCACAGTAACCCATAAATGGAAATCCATGGTACTTTAAGCTTCCTTTCCATCAAAGCCAACTGATTTTGGCTGGATCAACCTAAGAAAGAATTTGACTGTGGACCTCTCTCTCTGTGTTTCTGTTCTGAAGTTAAATGTGTAAGACTTGGGCAATTCTGAGTGGTTTTGCAGTTTCTGTACACTGTGACCACCTGAGTTCCTCTTGTCCCAAGGTCAATTTTAGGCTTGCTGTTGGGAGTATGCATTGAGCAGGGGAGTAGCAGGGAGAGGGTGGTGGTGTGGGATCTCTGAGTCTTCGTATAGCCAGTGGAGCTCTGAGGAGGCTTCTGGCTGTGAGCTCAGAGGCTGGGCTTCCCGAGGTGTTCTGTACTTAAACCAAACCAAACCAGTTACAGAAAAGTCTATTCTGACCCATGGCAACACCACGCGTGTCAGACACCACACTTTAGAGGGTTTTCAATAGCTGATTTTTCAGTAGATTGCCAGGCCTTTCTTCTGAGGTGCCTCTGAATAGATTTGAGCCCAAACTGCCAACCTTTCAGTTAGTAGCCCAGTGCTTGACTGTTTGCACCACCCAGGGACTCTGTCCTGTACTTAGAATTTCTTTTTTACCTCTCCAGCCATCTGTCCTTCACAACCAGTGGTCTTCTGCCTAGATCGTCCACTAGGAAATTATTCAGGGGTTCAATAGGGCTGTCATTCTGGGGGTCCCACCTCGGACATCTCAGGGTGGGCTTTCTGCGGTGCTTTGCAAGCTATTTAGGTAAAGGTCTACTATTTTTTTTTTTTAGCTCCAATCTGTTGCAAGTTGATACTTCCATAAAATGCTACAAAAATGAATTACCGGAAAAATGAAATAAAAACATAACAAATGCAAGCCCAGTTTCTTTTTATTATTAAACTTCGCAGACTTTTTCAATTTGTCAATTTGCTAGGAAGGTTTTGAAATGCTTACCTTCGACTTCTATTCTCATCTCATTTGTGATCCGTAATAGTTTGAGTACGATTGCTCTAAGCAGTACTCCAAGAGTTTCCACAGGATTTGTTTGGCCCTAAAACCTTCATCATTCTGCTGAGAGACTGATTCCCACCCAGCAGGGAAAGTCTTCTAGGTTTTCAGCCATGGAAGCCCCTAGCTTGATCCTTGGGTATTGGGCTTGGGGTCCTGTCTCATTGTCCTTGTTCTCTTTTCCACCGACTTCATCTTGTCT